ACCTAGGTCATTAAAGGATGTCATGAATAACTAGCTTAAACATAAAAGTATTAGTTCCACCACATTAAGAAAGAACTCAAAAATAGTTATTATTCAAAAGTATAAGGATGGACAAAGGGGATGAACCTGGCTGGGTAGTACAGTCTTGTGGATGATCTCAACAGAGTACAGGTTTGTGCATGTGTGTGTAACTATATAGGTGTGTAAAGTGGTGTGTATTATTTAGATAAATGTGCAGATAGATGAGTATGTATATATAGGTGTGTATGTATTACTTTCATCTGGTTTAAGAAATATTACTATAGTTATTATTTCTTTTTTGTTGTTGTTGTTAAAAAGGATACTGGAAATTAGAAGACAATGCGATGAATTAGAAATGGAAGAGGGGTATGTTTATATAAGTTATACGTCATCATACTTCTTTTCAGACTCATAATCACTGAATAAGTGGTGTGTTTTTATGTAAATRATATGATTATGTACATCATAGTAAGGTATGGTGTTTTATTTTTATTATTATTTGTTTTGTTTGTTTTTGTGGCACTTGGTGAAATGTTTGTCTGAAATAAATTATCATCWTCGTCATCATCATCCACTTTTTTTATTCGCTTCATTTGCTGCCAGTAGCGTTGTAGTCAAGACCACCTAGCCCGAGACCAAGTCAAGACCACATTGTATTGAGGCTGAGACCAAGACTAGAGAAAAAACAAAAACAACAGAAACTAGTTTCTTAAAACAAACAGTATACTGTACACAGGTAGCTAATATGTAGAGCTAATATTGACTAAATCTCTTTGTGTGAGGGCCGGGTAAAGAGTTTTGGTACAAAAGTAGACCGCTAACGTTAGCCAGCTAGCTTTGCTAACATCACTTACACATAGTTTACCTTTCTTTGTGCCTTTCTAAGTGACAATAAAAGTTTAACGTCATCCCCACTATCTCTGAAAGTCGCTGCAGAATTGATCAGTTTCTGTACTCTTTCTCCTGGATGTTTTTACAAATATATTCTTTACAATTTATGTCGCTGAACTGCAGTACTGAAGATTTTGCAGACATCTTCTCCTGCTCCCAGACAAGCACTGCTCAATTTTGTGGAGTGCGAGTGAAAGGGGGTGGGGATGGGTGACAGCGATAACAGAAATTTGATTTGAATCTATATGTTTTACATCCAGTGTTCGCGAGGATGTTAAAAAATCAGTCGGAGAATATCCTGTCAGCTTGATTGGTCTTGAAATACAATCCAGAGTCCTCCATGTCCAAGATGGAAATAACACCAAGTACAAATGCAGTCGAGTCCGAGACAAGACCAAGACCATCCAAAACCAAAAGTGGTCTTAAGACCAAAATCAGTCTCGAGAACTGCGACATTCATTAGAAAACATTTCTTTCGACATTTCAACATATTTTATGTCGTTTCCATAGCACTGAAGCATCACACCTCAAAGCTGAGGGATTTCTCTGATCTCATCCACGTGGAAACGTTTGGCTTCCGAGGCGAAGCCCTCAGCTCTTTGTGTGCTCTGAGGTAAACATGACACCTTCATTCTGTACATTGGTCTAAATGTATTCATCCTTTATCAGCTAACCGTTACTCCAACTCCTGTTTGCAGTGACCTGAGTGTGATTACCTGCCACGAGTCCAGTCAGGTGGGCACTAAGCTGGTGTTCAACCAGAAAGGCCATCTTGTGCACAAGTCYCCTCATCCCAGGCAGCAGGGCACCACAGTCGTCCTGCAGCAGCTCTTCTACACGCTGCCCGTCAGGCACAAGGAGTTCCAACGCAATATTAAAAAGGTCRGTGTCTACATGGTTCTTCACCACTGGAGCTCAAAGCTGATGTATAAAAGTGAACATTAGTTCAGTGAAATGTTGTTTTTCCTTTAAGTTTTTAACTTTATTCCAGCACTTGAAAGTAACCAGATACATGCGTAGCCTGTTTACTTCATCTTCAGTTCCCAACACCTGTTTCTCTGTGTTTTTCAGGAGTATTCCAAAATGCTGCATGTCCTGCAGGCGTACTGCATCATCTCTACAGGAGTACGAATCACCTGCTCCAACCAGAACGGGAAGGGGAAGCGCAGCACCGTCCTCAGCACCAGCGGCAGCCAAAGTTTGAGAGACAATATCGGAGCCATTTTTGGACCAAAACAGGTTCCAATTTGTTTCTAGTTTTTTTACCTCCGCCAAGGAGGTAATGTTTTCGGTCGTGTCTGTCTGTCTGTCTGTCTGTCTGTCGCCCTGTCGTTCTGTCTGTGGACAACATTACTCAAAAACTTGTGGACGGATTGTCATAACATTTACACCACATGTGGATACTGGGTCAAGTAACACACCATTAAATTTTGGTGATGTTCCGAATCACGATGCAGACACAGGAAATTTTTTTTCTTTTAAACCTCTCAGATCGGCAAAGCTGTGATGCTTTCACGGTGCTTCTGTAAAAAAACTGTGACAACTTTCAGTGTTCATTTGAGCTGGATTACACAGCACGAAGTTCAAACTTTGTAAAAGTAATCTTAAAACCAGATGTAATGATGAATAATTCTTGCCATAATGTGCGCATTTAGAGAACGTTTTGTGACCACGAAGTGCGTGACTGCACCATGAAACTTATTTTTCCCATTTCCTCAAACACACCACATTGTCAATAGGCTTGTACACAGATCGATGAAAATTGAGGAAGAGGAGTGACGTGGTGGACTTCAGACTCGGAGGTTGTTTGTTTGTTCATTTTTATTATTATTTAAATGAGGCCAGATCAAGTCGAGAGCTATTTGTGCGCCCCTCTATCCACCTCTCGCCAAACTTTGGGGAAAAAAGAATGGGCAGAGCGTGGTTGTGACCGCTGTGGTCCTCACACAGATAGGAAGACGCGTGTGTGTCTGTGTGATTAGACGCACTATGAAAACTCTGCTTTTTTGAATCACGTAGCACCGATGCGAAAGCTTTCAACAATGTCGGGTGACGAGTCTGACTTTTTTCCTTTTTTTTCCACATTGGACTCCACCGGGAAGAAATTSCGTGCATACTGCCTGCTTAAATGTTCGCTACATCAGAACTTATTCGGCAAATGTGTTTCCATCTCTGCTTTTGTGCATTAACTCTATTACAGGATGGGGGGAATTGGACTTGGCGGAGGTTTGCACTCTCCGAGTGCTTCTAGTTTTTTTAATTAAAAAAATAACTTTAAGGGGTTAAAATATGTTTACAGTTTTACTTTTACAGTTTAATCATCACTTCCTATGATTCTCTGCAGGTTCAGAGTCTTTTACCCTTTCAGCAAGTGTCTCCGACTGAAAATATAGTTGAAGAATTTGGACTTCAAGATGCAGATCTGCCCAAACAGCGTTTTTTGTGAGTGGCACCGTTTCATAAAATCTCTAACGAAGCAGCGTTTGTGTTGTTTGCTTTCAACATAAACTTGATTTGGCAGAATCTCGGGGTTTGTGTCGAGGGGTGACCACGGGGTCGGGCGAAGTGCCACAGACAGGCAGTTCTTTTTCATCAACAACCGGCCGTGTGACCCTGTAAAGGTAATTCCTGTCCAGTGGATTTATTTAGGTCTGTGGTGTGTAATGTTCTCTGCCTGACTGCTCCTGTCCCTGCAGGTCACCAAACTTGTGAACGAAGTTTATCACACGTACAACAGGCACCAGTATCCGTTTGTTGCCTTAAACATAGCTGTCGCCTCAGGTGGGAAAAATACTAATTAAAGAGAAACTATTTCTGAAAATCACTTGGTTTTTCTAAACCATGTTTGTGTTTTTGTGTTAWATTTTCAGAGTTTGTGGATGTGAACGTAACTCCGGACAAACGACAGATTTTCCTCCAAGAGGAGAAACACTTGTTGGCTGTTTTAAAGACTTCCCTCATCACCATGTATGAAGCTGGAGTCAATAAGATCAGCCTGAACTTTACACTTCCAGCCAGTGAGACAGATTTTTAAATAATCCTTCTTTTATTTATTTCATCACAACACACTCTGTGTTTGTCTGTGTCTCTGCTGGAGGTTTCTTCCTGTTAAAAGGGAGGTTTTTCTTTCCACCGTCGCCAAGTGTGCTGCTCAGGATRGGAGACTGTGACAAAGTGATTCAACACAACCTGCTGGTTTCTTTAGATTTATTGGGCCTCATGCAAGAACATGTTCATATTCTTATCCTAAATTTCTCTTACTTTTGTTCGTACAAAGGGTTCGTACGAACTTGCCACGTCAGATTCAACAAACTCTTCTCTCTTCAGGAAAAGTGTGTAAATGAGCTGCGTAAATTCCACCTGTTCTATCCAGCTGCTCGTGCACGTGAGAGGAGATTAGCATAATTATCACCCCAAAAACACCATATAAGGCTATGTTTCCTGCTTCAGATACCAGGAAGTGTCCATTCATGAAAAATGACAGCGATAATTAAAAAGAAGAACTTTACGAGTTCAGAGATTGAAGTYCGTCTGTCAGAGATCCAGAAAAGAAAATCTGTCATTTTTAGCAGCATCAGCTGTGGAATAAAATTAGCAGCTAAAAGTATAAACAACTGTGTTAAATCATTTTCATTTATTCAGAAGCCACACTGTTGTGCACCAAACACCCCTCCTCACCCGTCGTGTCTCAAGTGGTCTCAGTTGCGGTTCTGAAATAAGCATTTTAAAATGTTTTCAAAATATGTCTGGCACTTTRGRGAAAATCCAGGACTCACTGGAGGGATTATGTATCCCCTCTGGCCTGGGAACGTCTCGGAGTCCCCCAGGATGAGCTGGAAAGTGTCGCTGGGGAGAGTGATGTCTGGGTCTCTCTGCTGCTGCCCCCCGCGACCCGATCCCGGATAAGCCGGCCGGCCAGACAATTTATATTGTTAGTCTAAATTGTTACATTTAAAATTATAACTCTAGTTCAAGCAGAATAGCCTATTGTCAACATAATTATGGAGTGTGATTTATTTTCAACTCAAAATATCTTCAAACTAA